ATATATATATATATATATATAATTTTTCCCTCTCTGTTACCACAGATAGTTGAACAGAAAGTGACCAGAGTTTTTACACCAATAACTCATTTCAATTGACAACACTTTCTCCTGCTTTCAGGTAATCAAAGTATCAATTATATGGAGTAGCACTTTCCATGTTTCAAGGAACGCAATAAGAAACAATGTTGGTTAATTGTCTAAAAGTCTAAACAAAACGTGGATACCCATAGTGGTATTGGTGCATCTCTAAGATATGGGATATTTTATTTGGAGAGAGGAGTGAAAATGTACATTTATTTAATTCATACTAAAATTATTAACTTGATAGGGTGTACGGAATGTTTTGTCCCAACGTTAATGGACAGGGTTCAGCCGAGGCACCGAGAGCCTTGGTACCAGGGACTGTTCACATTTTTATGAAGTGCTTTGGCTCAGTGTTGAGTGTTCATTTCTCATTTTCTTCAGGTGTTTTAGGGCAGTTGCAATACCGCCACCCTCTGTTCAGCTATAATGTAATTAGGAAAAGCATGGGAAACAGGGACCAAAATGTTCTTTGCTTCAACCTTTGAAAAGCTAGTTCAAAGGTCTGTTGTCTCTTCACATCTACGCTGCACTTTTTTTCTCGTTTTTTCTACTCTCCGTCAGTAAAAGACTGTGACTATTCCTTTAATGTAACTCTTTTTAATGGAGAGCGACTGCTATTGTCTCTCATCAATAGCGTATGATCACAACAGTACCAGTGAAGTGAGCCCCTCTTCACAGCCCCACAGATAAAGCATCTGATGGTGCAGCTCTCCTCTCTCCTTTCCTGTTCCTACACGCTTCACTCTCCATCCGGATATCGTTATAGTCCCTAATCACAGCCACATTTGTGTCGCCTGCCGCTGAGACAGAAACAGATGTGGGAGGCAGTTTCCACTCCTGTTATGGCTGTTCCAGTCCCATTGTAACTGCAACTATCTGCCCAAGCAGTGAAGCAGAGCAGGAGCGCTGCATGTGTTTATTGTGTTTAGTGCCAAAGAACCTCAGACTGTCTTTAAGAGGAGATACAGAGAGCAGACCAGAGAGAGAGGTCCTGGGCAGCATGACACAGCGCACTAATTTACATTATCACAGCGACTAAAAGTAGACCTTGACATACAAACCAGGGTACGATAAATATTATTAATCCTTACACTGTCTTTTACTCCAAAGTCAAGTTTGTCCTCGTGATTTAATTCTTAATTCTCACTTCTACGGAAAGTTAATTGACATATTTTTACAGGTGAAATGGTAGACGTCATAACATTCCTAGGGGATCAAAGTGGGTCAACGATGCATTATAAGCTGAGGCTTCCAGAATGTGCAAAAAATAAATAAAATCATACTGCTGTAAAATGTGAAAAGTGTAATATAACAGCAAGGAACACAATGATGTCAAAAATGTTTATGGTACAATATATGTTGTTCCAAAAGACTTTAAATAGTCAGAGAGTAAGTAATGGGTCAAAGTTGTCGTACTGTAGTAAGTCAAACAATATACTGTAGGTAAAGACAATGTCAGGGTGTGTAAACTATGGAAGACAGACTGTATCTTAGTGTAATAGTGCGGAAAAATAGGTAAAAGTGTCATGTTACAGTAAAAAACATATATATGTATATATATATGTGTGTGTGTGTGTGTGTGAAAAAGGTCTGAACGGGTAAAATTTTTTAGATGGACTTTACAATAATGGACTTTACAATAATGGTCCAAACACCATGTTGTAGTCAGTGGTTTTGTGTTTGTTCTGTGTGCGTCTAATGGTTCCAGAGAATCGTATCAATCAAGTGTCCACAGGGTGTCAAACATGTTTTTGTACTTGTTTAAAATTGTTTAAATAAAGGTATTCCAAACAAGTTACAACATTAATTAGGTGGTCCAAAAGGGTCAAAAATATTACCCATAATAGGCCGTCCAACGTAATGGACGACACGTGAGACGCAGCTACACTTTGAACAGCTTCATGCAGTGTAATCACAGCAGTGTAATATGTTACTTTTACATATGACATTGTGTCAGAAAGTTCTAAGACAGCTGTGAGCATTTCAAAAGTGACAAGTTTTTGATAATTAAAACATGTTAAGACGCTTCTCTCAGGCACAACCAACAGGTTTCACAGGTTTTATCCATTGATCGTAGTCTAGAGTTGACCTGTGGTAAATTGTGATCAATCAAGTGTTTCTACGCTTTGGAAAACCGCTTTGGAGGGCCTGGTGGTTAAACATGAGGGGCTTGTATGACGACTGATCATTTAAATGCTGGTCCTAGCCGGACTTTGGTGTCATAAACAAGCAGAAGAGCAGCTCACAGTAAAGGATTATGGGAGTAATAGATTATAAAAAAGGACAAATTTGAACCCTGTTACAATTTTATTAACGTTTTGCAACAAAAAGGCTACGTTGTTTTTATTTCCATTTATCTTGGAACTTCTTGCCCCACCTACATATCCATCTGGCTGGATGTTTGTGTTAACCGCCTGGGTGTTTTAAAGCCTCGAGAGAAATCATCAAGAGGGATTTATTCATGCTCCATTGCCTGCACCTGCCACTTATTCAGGGTAAGATGGATGGATGGATAGGGGAGACCACCACCCCCCACACTTCAACACCATTAATCTTCATGAACACACATCACTGTGCTGAACAATTCAAACGGCATTGACGGCTATATTTGAAGAAAGTACAGCCTCACGATTGAAAAGGTGAAATATTTAACGCGTCACTCGTGAGTTCAAATAAAACGTCCGTGGTTTTTTTATCTTGGGTTTTGTCATGTTAGTAAAATCCAATTTATTATTTGGTGAAAGCATAACTTTCAAGGATTAGAACAACTAACATATTCAAACAATCGGTTATTTAAAAAAAAAGAAAAAAGGGACAAACTTTTTGCTCAAAAATGTGATGATATTTGTCCCGAGTGTTCAACAGATTTCTGGACAATGGTCCAATTTCACTCCACACCTGGGAGAATTCACTCTGGGTATAAAGATGAGCAGAAGAATAAAGATAAATAAATATCATATTGTACCTATTGTGTTGAATTTTAATGTGAATAGTTAGAATAGTAATTTTTTTATTTGTTATCTCAAAATCAATTGAATTACTTTAATGTAATTTAATATATTTTCACTAATTATCTTAGGTTAAATATTTTACTACACACAGTACTAAAATGTGTTATTAATTTTTCAGTAGTATAATCATAATAAAATGACATGAAAAGGTATAGTGAATAGCATTGTATCTTTATGGTAATAGTTGGAAAAAAACTGAATATTTATTTGGATTTTTAGTTTGTTTGTATTATCTTATTTAATTTATTTCCAGCAGAAAACATTTAGCTTAAAATAAATGTTTTCATAACACACAGAAATAAGTTATTATATGTTTATGTCATTTATAGGTCAGTTCAGTGCAGTTTATTTTTTGGCATGAAGAGTTTTAATTGAATATAATGTAAATAAATATACGCAGTTATATTACACATGTCAAAATAAATGTGATAAAATGATTCAAAAGTTATTCAAATTTCTTATACTATCTTATACTATGTACTACAAGAAACACAAGAACCCACTTACAGCGTGAGGATTAGCAGTAGCAGAAGTATCGTATTGTACCGTATCGTATCGCTTTCGCCCTTGTGTTTGAATGGAATGTTATATAATATTTATTTTCTCGAATCAATTTCTAGAATAAAAATGGGAGCTTTAATTGAACTTTAACAAAATACAAAGATTGGAATTTATAAAACAGTTCTTAATAGGTGACGTCAGGTTGTTTATTTAGAAATAATAAATGTCACAAACGTAAAGATTATCCCCGAAAATAAATGTCGAAGATGAATAGCTAAGAAACACAACTAAGTGATATTATTATTTTTCTGTTATTCCGTGTAAAGTTCCCAGCCCGACTTTACCACCGTGTTTTGTTTCGTGTTCAGATTTCACTCACCACCAGGAAGAATCCACTCTCGGTGTGAAGATGAGCAGCAGCAGAATAAAAGTGAAGTATATTTTACGCAGCGGTTTGGAGAGCTGTCGTGTTTTGGTGCCGTGTCTCATCCCCATGGCCCCGCTCCTGTCCGCTCCACCTGGACTGTTCATCAGACAAAACATGTGTTGGCGAAGGCTGAACTTTCAGTCTTTGGAGAAGCTCCTCCGTCCATTATCGGGCATCGACTCCAACTGTCCCAGGAGATAAGGTGGTCTCCAACATCACTCCATGACCGCTGCTAGGTTACTGTTATTCCATTCCAGGGTCAGGGAATACACTTGTGGAAGAAGACAAAAACAATTAAATGTTGGGGGCAAAAAAAAAAAAAGTCGGAGTTAACGCACCGCGTTAATCACTGACGCTGTCACTAAAGACACAAGACTTAAATAAACGTCATCAAAGTTGTTACATAGTCAAGGCTTCACGAGGATGGAGCGGACACCGTGCGCACCTTTGCTCCAGCAGCCGCGACAATGATGCGCTCTCTGCGCTGCGCTCAGGCGCGCGTCAGCTGTGCCGGACCGCCCCACATCCTCCCCCACCTCCCCCCGGTGTCACAGAATTACAAACAACGGTATGTGGCTACAGAAGGCAGCACATGAGGTGTGTATATATTTAGGTAATCCTAGTGTGTGATGTCTGCCAGGGTCAAATCAACGCATTCACCGCATTGGCAGAATAATTAGAACAATAATAAGAGTATTTATCAAAGCCTCCGGTAACACCGACAGGGAAGAATTGTTATCTATCTCGATAGATAATTGTATAAAAATCAATATTTTGGAAATAAATGTATTGGATGTAATATTGTTCCAACGTGTTTTCTTCTTCACTTGTTAATTCTTGCTATTATAAGCCTTTATTGTTTAATGTTATTTTATTTTTTTATCATGTTATATCTTAAAGGGAATAATCGGAATAATTTAAATATTTATTGGATCTTTCGGTGTGTTTGTTGACTGAAAGACAATATTTACATTAATGACAATTTGGGTGAAATTGAATTATATTTCTACAGTTTGTCTTTATTTTTAGAGCACAAGGGTTAGCATAAGTTAAATATTTAACAACTGTACATAAATTAGAAACTATATATTTGTAATTGTCTTATGTGTATAAACAATTATTAAAATTACAAATATCAATAGTAAAGATCAGTCCATTAAGTAAATACAACAATTTAAGTTTATCGTGATTCTGTTATAAATATGTGGGTCTAAATATACCTTATCAGCATATATACTTTTATTATTGTAGGTTTTTTGTTTCATGGTACATGATGCAGGTCCACCAGCGTGTATGTTTAAAAAAGCTGATTCTGCATTTCTTTTTCTTTTTCTAGATAACATACAGGAATACATTACCAGCAGACTGGTTCACAGGCAGCTGTCCTCTCAGACAGTCTAACGTAGACATGCAGACCAAAACCTGGATCCTCATGACACTTGACCCCGTCTTTCTTTATCCCAGGACAAGATATGGAAGCTCAGAGTGACAACTCTATAACAAATTGCTCCACAGAGAGCAGGTGATGGTGGTGATAGAAGCCGTTGTCATCTTGTCTTCCCTCTGTCTTCCTTTGAACCTGCTCCAGCTGTGCTCGTCAGGAGACTCAGTGTGGGGGGCTGAAGAGAGGGAATGAGAGGGTGGGGTAGGGGGGGCAGTTCCTATTCCAGGCCTGTCTCATGGTCTGGGCTAAATTTAGACGAGAGAAAAAATGACAAAAGGGCAAAAAAGGAAAAAAGATTGACTGAAGCTCAGAGGGCAGAGCTCAGATGTCAGTCATGGCTAATGTTACAGTAGATGTGCAGTGTTAACAGTGAGCAGTAAAGACAACCAAACAGTCACTCATTACCACGCTTTTCAAGTCACACTGTAAAGGTCACTGAATGTTATTATTGTTGTCTCTTATATGGAAGAAAATATCTGTAGGAAAGAAAAAAATGCACGTTAAATGGCAGCACTACATCCTGAAAGCTGGGAGCTACCTCTGAAACAAATGAAATGTGCGTAAATGAGCACGGCTATGTTTTAGCTTAGCTAGGCCTTGTAGAAGAATGACAATATAATGTTACAACACAAATCAGTTAATACAATTTAAACTTTAACAGATGAATGGGAGCTCAATGCTTATGTAACGGGGAGTATAGCATTAGCCTGAGGCTGTCCTGTGGAAATAACCTTTTTCCTTAAAGGTAACTCATTAGCATTCATCATTGTTTTTTTTAAATCTAGCGGAGCATTCCAATTCTTCCAAGCTGAAAATTAATCAAATAAAAAAAGCTGAGAGTTACAGACCAGTGCATTTAAGCACTTCCATAGCTCCCCCTACAGGAGAGAGGGCTACATGCTAGTTGTTTAAAACCACTTTGTGCAGATTCTACCTTTAAAACTAAGATAAAAGTACTAAACAGAGAAAGTGAAAAGAAGCAATAGTTCAGTGATTGACACCAGTCCCACTGTCACTGACTGCAGTGAGTACGCGGCCCCTCACAGCTCATCAAACCTCAGCCTGTATTTACGGAGGCTAATAAAGAGTGAGCTTTGGTGGAGGAGGAGACATGCCTGTGCTGGATTTGGGACGCGGCCCTGCTGTCCTGCACTGGAATGTTAATTAGGTGAGGTGAGACAAGGGGAGGTGACCCGTCCTGATGGCCTGAAGACTCTTTCTCAACAAACCAGGTGGAATCGAGTCCGCGTGGGCGAAGTACATGTAAACTGAGAGTTGAAATGTGGGAGATGGTTACAGTCCAACACAAACTTCTTCTGTCATGTGATCTTTAGCCTTCAGTGTGTCATCTGCAACAGCTTTGTTTTGATAAAATGAAAGGTTTGTTAATTCAATGTCAGCCGACCATGTCCTGACCAATGTAATTAGATTACTTTTTTCTACTCGTCTACAAACACTTCATAAATTCTATTTCTGCCGAATCCATTGTAATGGTAAAATATTAAACAGTGACCTCTAGCGGATACTCTGCGGCCTTACAGATTAACAGAGCTAAGTATTCATTTTAGTCCCCTCTCTGCGCACTGACCTATCCTTCAGCCTTTTGGTCTTATTTCGTTCCTGTCCAAACTTTTTTTTTTTTTTTTTTTTATTGTGTCGAAGTTATTTTCCTAACTGACTGTTGTTGAAGGTAATTGATTTAATTTACCCCCTGAAAACAGAATTTATCTTTGTGCCTGATGAATATTCCAGATGGTGACTGTAGGTAAAAAACATTAAAATAGATAAATAAACAAACAGAAACAAAAAATATTTTTGCGAATGCACTGTTTAGTATGTCATTAAAAGAAGTTACGTTAATTCTTGGTAAATTTGCAAAGAGAAATATAAAAAGCATATGATTTGTGATTAGAGTTTTTGGATGATATCAGTATTAACAGATATTTTAAATGATTGTTTTCTAGAAATAATATAGAAAATGCAGGTACATATGGACATTTTTAAGTACATATTGCACAAAGAACTGCTCGGTGACTAGGAATTAATGCAATCAGGGGAATGTCTGGTATAAAGCCTGCACACACTTCCTATGGTGAATGATTATAATGAGCTCAGTTGAGACATTTCACGGTTTATATTACTATAACATGAGGGTTTTTGTAACATCAAAAAATAAAATATGACTTAATAAATGAGCCAGTAACACAGTAAAAGCACTGATTAATTCAACCTGTAATCTAGTGTTCTCAGAGAGGATTATGAACAATGTTATATTAGTGATGATGATTGAGCAGTGACTGGATATGTAAAGTTATTTACACACCCTCTATACAAAATAATACTATATTATACATTCCATATACTGTGAATGTGTACCTGTAACTGTACAATACTGTGACTGTAAACCAAACCTTGGTCCAAAGATAATGTACAACCACTATATGTTAAATACTTACTAGTATAGACTGGATGTTCCTTATAATGCTGTAAAAGATTCAGATGCAGCTTCTCGTTAGCACCGACCATAAAAATAATGCCTTCAGACTTTTACACAAGTCTAATAAATACCAACAGCACCACAGTGTTAAAATAAAGACATGGTGATGAGTGTGAGTTTTAATCTGATAACCAGCAGCTGATTAGTGTGTTTTTTTTTGCGATCTACTAATTAGATGACACCACCATGTCCAGTTCTTTCACCCCCTCCTGACCAGAGGTCAGCCCACAGCTGCCTGTGAGGGGGCCGTCAGAGAAATGACCCACAGACCTGGGTACTGCAGCTGGGGAGGGAGGAGCCTGGGCAAGACCGGGCTTCTTTGGAGGAATGGGGGGAGGATTCCCCCTGTCAGCTCTGGAAATGACCGGTGATCTCATCCCCTGCTGAATCGCTCCTGTCGCCCTTCCGACAACCGGAGACAAGGGCGCTGCCAGGCTGCGGTAGTCGGTACCGAAGGGTGAATTGTTTGGCGTGGTGAGTTTTGGTGCAGCATTCTGTTGGACTGTAGTGAAGCGAGACAGCACCTGAGTGACGGTGCTGCGGGCCATCTGCTTGACTGGGCTGGTTTCAGGAGG